AAATGGATGTTAAAGTCTATGAGTGGAATTATACAAAGAAAATTAAACAGTCAAAAGAGCTAAAAGTATATCACAATGTACAGTTAGAACAGCTGTATCTGACTTAAACATGGTTTATGCGGCTGATCTGCATATTGCATGTCCATGTTGTTTACATTTTTTTAACGAAACTTGAATGAACATTCTAACAAAATAGATTGAAACTTGTAACATAAGTAACAAAACTATATGAAAATAACAATAAAACTATGTGAACAGAAAAAGAAAGCTATAGGAAGAATATTATTATAATATAACACTACGAAATAACCATTAAATATTTTGTTTTTAAATTTTATTTATAAAAATGAGGCTTCCCCAACGGGGAATCGAACTATGTCTGCTGGGTGACGGTCGGAGACACTGACCACTACTCTACCGAGGAGATGTGTATAAAGAACTTTGTACTTTATATTCATTAATTAATTTATCACATTCTGTGAATAACGTTTAGCGTTATCGGCAGACCGAAATCTGTGAATAACGGCGAGCGTTATCCGCACAGCTCTGTGAATAATCACTTCGTAGAATTAATGATGAATTCTCAAATTCTGTAGTTAGTGGATTAACACATAGTTTAGTAATATTTTAACCCATTATTGAAATATTTCTTTCTAATTAAAACATAAAGTTAAAATATATATAAAGATCTATAATGAGCGAAAAAATATGTCCACAAGTAATTTTAATTATATTTTAAAATGTCCGACATAGTGCCCAGTGGCGGTTTAAATCATTTCTCAGGGCCATTACTATAGGGGGACGAAAGCAGGACGTCATTTCAGATTGTTTTGGGAGAGGGGGGTGACAAAACCAAAATTTGATCGGCTTGTTAAGTTGTCTATTATTGTAGGCACCAAAGTACATAGCAATTTAAATAAAACCTGCAAATTTAGTTGGGGGCAAATGTCCAAATGACGATCTGGACGAAAGTTGTGATTTGGGGGGGGGGGGGGGGGAAAAAACAAAAAA